TATGGTATTTTTCTCTTTCTGGCTTACTTCACTTAGAATGATGATCTCCAAGTCCAACCATGTTGCTGCAAATGGCATTCTTTTATTCTTTTTTATGACTGAGTAGTATTCCATTGTATAAATATACCACAGTTTTTTTTTATCTAGTCATCTGTAGGTGGACATTTAGATTGTTTCCATGTCCTGGCTTCTGTATATAGTACTGCTATGAACATTGGGGAAGAAGTTGCTGTGTATTTTAAAACTACCAAACACCCTAAGCTGCAAGAGAGGCTAGAAAATATATTCTGTAGCTCAGGATCCACTGCAGCTAAAACTTAGGGGAATTTTATTGCTAAAAGATAAAAGGAGAGAATGGACAGATTATCAGGGGGATGTTTAGCAGTCTCTGCAACAGGCAGCTTTGCAGAGGAATTAAGATCTGAAGCAGGTGGTCATGGATGAAGAAAACATGAACAGGGAGAAAGGTCATGTCAGGCAAGAGAAGAGCATGAGCAGACACACAGAAAGGATGATATGGGCATATGTATTTACATTAAGAATGCACATCTAGTTACAGGAAGCGGTGGTGGGATGGGGGTAAACTATGCCACATGGAATGGATTTGGCCATAAAATATTGAGGAAGTATTTGGGTTTTAGTATAGCTTTGTGGTAAGTGCAAGATTCCAGAGTCAGATGAACCTGGATTAGAATTCTCTGTCCATTGTCGTTTTGTGCTTTTTCAGCCAGTGTGGGAGATTACAAAAATGGCCACCATTCTCCAACCTCTTGTTGAGTGACTTTGCAGCTACTTCCATCAAGCTATGGAGTCTGTTTCTCCGTCTCTTGGCTCTGGTCTGGCACTGGGCCTTGCTTTAGCCAGTAGAATGTGGCAGAATTAACAATGCGCAGTTTTGAACTTAAGCCTCAAGAGGGCTTTACCTGCCCCCACTAGCTTTCTTGAGACCTTGCCAAATCTGTGAATCAGCCAACGCTAGCTATGTGTGAGATGAGAGACCCCATGGGGCAGTGCTCAACCATCGCATCTGAGGCCCCAGCCACAGGAGAAAGCCAAGGCTAGATCAGTGAAGACGACTGGCTGCAGCTGCCCTGCAGAGTCATGAGCGAGACTTGCAAGGGGACTGCCCAGCTGAGTCCAGCTGATCCCAGCTCAAACTGCTCCCCCTGGAGAATCATAATTAAAGGATTGTTGCTTAGGCACTGGATTTTGGAGTGATTTGTTATACAGCAAAGCCACTACAGCTAAAGAAATTGCTTTCTAAATCCAGATATCCTCGACACAAAATAGGTTTTCCAGCACCTGCATCATGGCTACCGGGAGGACTCAAGACGATCATAGTGAGCCTGGAACCAAGCTTGAACCATAATATGTGCTGAGCAAATGGCAGCTGATGCCACTGGTCCCGTCAGAGAGACGGTCAAGGAAAAACAGGGAAAGGAGAGGCTAAAAAGCAATTACTTAGAAATCCACACTCTGCTCCCTTTTGCTTCCTGGATTTTGTTTGTTTGTTCCACCAGCATGTGCCTACACTATCACAAATCTGCATTTTGGGGGCTCATTATTCACCTCTGAAAACTCTTCTTGCATTCTTGTTTTCTGGACCCTTGAACACATGCAATGGTCTGTATACTCTCGCTACGGTACAGTCAACCTCCTGTTTCACCTGTTTCTGTATTTTATTTCCAACTAGGCTCTGAATACAGTCCTTACGTTTCCTTTGTAAACTGCACAGAGATAGTGCTTTTGCTTTTTTATCCAAACAGCAAGAATTTAATGAACACTTAGTAAATTAAAGTCAATTAAATTTTGTTATGGTTGGTGTTATTTTATCTCTAATCAAGAGACTGACTCAGTTTTCTCAGTATCAAGTCACTAAGTAAACTCATGGAGAACAATGCCCCCAAGAGATCAGAGTTACAGGAATAATTCATTTCCTCTCCTGGTGTGTCAGTGTGACAGGAGGGAGTGGTGACAACTCCAATCTGGCAACTGGTTCCCACCAAGCAAATGTCTGGGTGCCTCAGCAGCCACACACCCTGTTTATGTCTCAAACTGCTAATCACCTTTGATCCTGTTATTACTTGAAGGAGAAAATAAAAGTTCCTGGGAAAACTAAAGATAGGAACCAATTATATACTTTGAGAACATCTTTAATTATCCCACATCATTTTTCCTTCACTCAAAATGTTTCAGGCTTTCTAAGCACCTTTTTTTTTTTTTAACTTCCTTTAGAGGTTTTTCCTCTGAATAAGATCATGTCAATTTTTACTGACAAATTATGCACTGAGGTATCCCTCCCGCTATGCAGGACCCGGCTCCTACCAGCTTTAGGGAGCCCGCCACGCATCTTGTTTCAACTCTGTGTTCAGCAATGTCACCTTGGAGCTTGAAATCAGCCACGGTGGGAATACAACCATCACGAAAACCAGCAAACAATACCAAGGGGGACCATTTCTCCCTGGAGAGTCCGTTGATGAACGTCTGCCAGCCCAACACTGCTGCTGGCGAGTGCTCCACTCCGGTGTCTGGGAATTACAGCTCTCGTCATCCTGAGTTCAGACACAAGGTTTCACCAGGAAATGCCAGGGTCACCTTCCCACTGCTGGGTAGGAGACTGATAAAAGGGGGACGAGTAGAAGAGGGATATATTTGGATTTGTGTTTGATAAGAAAATCCCTCTGGGGTCTGGTCTGTGGAGAAAAGCATATCTGGGTGGGGAGCAGGTGGGGGGCATCAACGTGAAAGCATGGCGACCAATGAAGATGCTATCTGGGGCTAGCGCCAGGGAGCCAAAGCATGGCTTCCGACGACTTTTGCCCTGACACGTGCCCCACACCATCTGCACCTCCACACCTGTGCTTGTGCCCCACCCCAATCCTAGTCACAGCGACCTACCTGCTTTGGGCACCTGGAACACTTCTTCCTTGAAACTCACCTGACCCTTGCCGTGTCACCTTGTTTGGCCATTTAATATCTTCAAGTGCATTTGTCTGATCCCCATAGCAACTTCTTGAGGGGCCTGGGATGGAACTGGTCCACTACATTTGGCTAAGCAGTATTCCCGGCAGGCACTATTCTGGATTTCTTGGAACGTGGGGAGAAAGAAGTTTCTGTTCTGGAGAAGCTCTCATCACAATTTGGGGACTGATCAAGAAGAAATGAGAAGTGATTGCTAAGCCAATCTGTGCTGATGAGAAATGCAGGGAGGGAGGTCAGGGAGATCATTTGAAATAGTGGACAAGAAACATGAAGCAACCATCTCAAAACTGGGAACTATATTCCTTACCTAACACGTGGAATCAAAATTCTAACTATTGCCAATAATTGGTTACAAAGGAGATAAACTTCTATTTCTACCTAAAACAAGGGTTCACAAACCCTATCTATAAAGGACCAGAGAGTAAATATCTTCAGCTTTGCAGGAGGTCCTGTCACAACTGGTCAACTCTGCTGTTGTAGGGCAGTCACACCTATAGACACCACACAGATCAACGGGGAGAGACCTGTTCCAATAAAACTTAATTCACATAAGCAGATGGCAGGTTAGCTTTGGCCTCTTGGCTGAAGTTTCCTGACCCTTTACCTAAAAGATCAAAATTGTACACTTTGAAAATGGCAAAGCCAAACCTAGAATCCAAGTCCAATACTTTCCAGCATATCAGGGTGCTTTTCTTGGTTGCATGAAAGACATAAACATGCTGATTCAGCTTAGTTTTACATCTACCTGTTTTGTTCCCCATTAGATAATAAGCTTTCGGTGGGTGAGGATTTTCATGCTCTTTAAAGCACGTATTTTTATACCCAGTAGACAAACTTTCCCAGGCTATATCAAAGATCCCAATGGATGAGAGAGATAATACAGAATTTTACTACAGCATACATGTGATCTCAACTTACAGTGCTGAGTAAAAAGTCTTATAAATAAAAAAGTGTTTTCTTTCTTAGATTTCTAAACTCTTTTTAGAGAGAAATTAAATGAACTTTTTAAAGCTGTCTGGGACACTAAAAAAGAATAAGGAATCTCTATAGGTACTCTGTGGAATCATACCTAAAATATTCTGGGAATAAAGCAAAGCACAGAAGAATTTATCCTTTTATGTGTTTTTAAAAAATACATAAAAGGAGAAGGGGATGGAGATATATATGTGAGTATATATTTGAAATACTTTTGAAAGGATATTCAAGAAAATGGTAAAAAAAAATAGTTGTTTGCGGGGTAAATTGGGGGATCACGGCTGGGAGGAAAAGGAACTTTATTCCTACTGTTTGAATGAAAAAACCCACCTATTCTCTTCCAAGAGAATTAAAAATTAAAACAAGCAAAAAATCAACTAGGTGTGCACATAAGTCTGCAGTCATGTCATGTTTCCTATTGATGCCTTTCTCTGTACTACGCACAGACATTCAGAATTATTCCACTGGCCACATTCGAAACTATTAATATCACAAATGACTGCATGTCAATCTGGTGAAATCAGAATAAACCCTGTGGATGGTGGAAACTCTGACAAGGCCACTCCCGGACACAAGCCGAGGTGGGAGTGAGTGGTAAGAGGAACTTACCAGGGTGGGGAACTGGTGCTGCTCACTGAGACCCACGGCCCCAGCTGGTTCGTTGGGTCAGTCAGGTGCTCAACAAGCTACCATGTATTCCGCTCACGGAGACGCGGGCTACAAGCGGGTGGAGAACCCTGACTCCATGATTTTGGGTCTCAGCAATAGGAGATGATCTGACATCCGCACTTCAAGTCCTTAGATCTCTGTGATTTCACTGATCTTGTCTTTCACCTTCTCAGTTTCTTTAGAGCCACGTTCTGTGTTTCAAAAAGCAGCTGAGATGTCTACAGGTTTGTTTTTAGACCTGGTGATCAAGTGCATGAAACACACAGCCTCGACTCTTTGAAGCCAAAAGCATTAAACCCAAAACACAACAAAAACACCACCAAGAAGCCCATTTGGTATTTAGAGCCAGCCCAATAAAGAAAATATACTGCACGTTAGCTAATATATTTTATTGTCAGACTTTGAGCCAACAAACAATGACTCCACATGGCTGTCTGCAGGGATAAGGCAAATTTCTTTTCGCTTTGTGGGTAGACTTAGTTGGCCTAAGTCTTTACAACTTTTCTGTATAAAAATAGAAGTCCAAGACCAGATTATTTCTCCTCTGGTCATAAATGCTGATTTATTTACAGGGGCCTCATTCAGACCACCATTATAAACTTGGGGTAAAATACATGTGTATTTTATTAAAGCCTCAATATTGAATGTCTGGGTTCTTTAAAGATTCGCTCACGTGTTCCACTTTCAGAGAAGGCAGCATCTTTCCTCTGAATTCAAACGTGGTCATGTCACAATCTACCCAGAGTGATATGAACTAACCTTCAAGGAAACATTTTTTAGCTTATATCTCTTAGAAACTAGAGACTCCAAAATGACTTCATACAGTTCTAAAAACAGCCCTGGGGCCCGCTGTTTAAGAGTGGTTTATAAATAGTTACTTGAAGGCTGTGTATCTGTTTATAATACAGCAGACACAGACTGCAGATGTTGCTACCTGTAAAACAAAAGTTGACTCAAAATGGGGCTTTCGAAATACAGCGAAGACAGGAAAATCCAGGATTCTGGTTTTTTAATAAAACCACCTTGGAAAGGTGACGACTCTTATGCTGAACCACTCAGATGTAGACGTTACACCATTGCACATCCTCTTTCCCTTTGCTTTCAATGCTCGTGGAACAGTGATTAAAGTGATGGGTTATGAACACATGCATGCACAGGCAGGCACATACACTTAAAAGATGAGACAAAGAGAAAAAGTTACTGCATGTCCCCGCGAGGAAGGCTGCCCGCAGCACTCCAACTAAAATAGACTGTCCCCTCGCTCTCCCTCCGCCCCCTCCCCCCACTCCCTCACCTTCCCGCCAAGGGGAAATCAGGCTGGGAGGTTAGTGCAGAAGTGATGGATAAATGCTGTCCCCCCACCCCCAAGCTTAGTCAGTCTCCCCCAGAAGGGGGGTTAGCATCTCCCTTCAGTAGCACAGTTAAGGTGGATTAGCGTTTGTTCCACAAGTTAAGGCACTTCTGGCTGCTTTGGTGGCAGCGTGGGTTTCATTTCCTCTCTTTTTAAGGCCTGGGTCATCTAAGAGAAGTAAAGCTTTGGAAATCGGGTTAAGGTTGACAGCTTAATGCACGATCACTGGCGGGGACAGGGCGAAAGGTCCCCGAGACACCTCCCTCCAACGAGGGGCTTCCAGGAAGCCTGGGCAGCCCCGCTTCGGGCTCCAGGCGCCAGCGCCGGCTGAGCACTCGTGACCAGGGGCGGCGCGGGGAGACGCTGAGTTCACGTGGGCTCGCGGCCGCCTTCACCTGGAGCTGCCCTGGCTGCTCACGGAGCGCGACGCGCTGTAGCGCTTCTTCACGATCATGCTGATGTAGGCTTTCATGAGCTTGGCCACGTCCACTACCTGCCCGGGAAGCAGAGTCGGCACATGGTCAGGAGTCTCTGCAGGTTGCGGGGGCCTGTCAACCAGACGGCCTCAGCCCGACCTCGGCAGACCAACCCGTCCTCCCAGCAAAAGCCAGTAGGTAGCCCGCCGTGCGAATCCACGGGGCAGGATGCGTGCGCATGAAGCCAAAAGGTCAGCTGCCTTCCCCTATTCCTAGGCAGGGAGAAAGGGAATCCTGGCTTTGCCAAATAGGACGTTGCCACCTGGTGGTTGCCTGATGGAAAACCGTGAGATTTTGCACGTAAAATAAAGCTCCCACCCGATGACGCTTAAGTGTGTTGGTATGATTAGGGCCGGGATTACTGTTCCAGCTCAAAGGGTCAGCGACAGAGCCCACAAGCACAGCTTTTAAAGACTGGATCACATCGTGCTGGTCAGCTCCTCATGATGCAGCTTGAGAAACAGAACTAAGGTGCGAACCCCAGCCCGCACCCTTCTCCCCGCCACCGCCCCCCCCCCACATGCACAGTTCTGCTCCCTGCCAGCTACGTGCTCGCAAAGAGCTATTTCACGATGCGGTCAGTGTCCACTGTCGCCTCTCCTGGCCCGTCCCTCCCGATGGCTGGCCTGGATCTCTGTGAAGACGTCCTACCTGGCCGCCATCCCCCTGTTCTCTCTTCCCTTCCAATCTCACCCCACATCACTGTTTGTAAAAGCACTGCTGTCACACATCATGTCACCATCAAAGGTCCCAGGGCAGTTCCCTATTGTCCACTAGGGTTGACCAAACCCAGCAGCCTGGCGCCTGGGACCCTCCAGTCAAAGGCCCTCACCTCTTTCCACCTCACTGCACATCTGCTGCCAGCCTTGTCTACCCGCACCTGTCCCTGCCTGCATCCTTGGTCTGATCACGGCCTCCTACCACCTCCTCGCCCTCACTTGACGCCATCAGCCCAACGAGCAGCGTGTGATTCATGCTCATCTCCCGCCTTTGCCTGCCGGCAGCTCCCTGGGTGGAGACCTCAACAGGCTTCGTGTATTATTACCATTATTACATCTTGAGCTTTGATGTGGATGGCATACATACATAGAGGTGTTCTGTGACTTACTGTGAGCTAGAACTAGCTATGCCCAGGATGGTCTGCCCTCTCTCCCTCCTGCTCTGTGGACACCATCAGATCCTAGTCTCAAGGCTGTGATCCACTTGTCTAGTTTGGCTTTTTTGCCAAACTATGTAATTTTTTTTGGATCTCTATATATCATTTCCCTTTTTCTTTTTTTCCTCCAAAGGTAAGACCCACCTGATACAAGGGAACCAAATTTCTCTGTTGCAAAGGTATACAGAAGAATTTTGGGGTTATCAGGTTTGGGCCTAGGACAGACCTGCAGCTGAGAAGGGACCTGCATGCTGTATTTTCATGTCTTAAAGCGAAATACCCAAATAAAATCACTTGGTCAAAGGCTCCAGGACGTGAGGTGCCACTGTTCTATTTTGCCCAGGTCACAGACAAAAGAGTTGCCTCTTACCTCACTGGTTTCAAAGAGCAGCTCCCTCTCATCGACGACGATCTTGTACGTGTTGGCCAGGGGAGCCCCAAAGGAGAGGATGTGCTCGTACTGGAAGACTTCTAAGGGTCTTCCCTCCCCGCGCTTGTAGACAGAGACAGCGTCGGCGCTGACGCCCAACCAGAGCTCCTGGGGAAAGCCGCCCTCCTTGCACTGAGGGGCAAGAGTGAGTGTTAAGAGTTAGACCAGAAACAGAACACAGGGGCCACAAGACAGGCTTTAAATCAAGCCCTCTGCACAGCGTACTGAAGGCATTCAATGTGTATTTACGCCAGGGGAACTGAAACAGGAGAAATGGTATCTCTTCAGCTATCTTGGTTGATTTCTGACTGGCTGATCAGGCCTGTGCATATGGGGGGATCTCGGTGGTCAATTCCAGCATCTTGTTGGGACTCTCCACATCATCACCCTCCTGGCCATCTGAATTAGCTACACAGGGGTGGCTACAGCCAAGGAACTCAACAATGATCCCCCAGCCAGGTCTACTCTTCTGTCTCTAGTTCTGCCTCCAATCCTGTCCTGAGTGATTATTCTTCAAATACAAAATCCAGGATCACAGGGGAAAATTCTCCACATCTGTGCTGAGTAACCAGCAATGAGCTTTTGTGTAGATGGTGGTTGATCTCACTGGCTTAACAATGGACTTTCTTGCACAGATCAGTGGAGGAAAATAGGAGCCTGGATGTGCGGGATGACAACACAAGGCGATGGGAATCAGGAAGGATCCACATTGGTGACTCTGAGATGACGAGGTTCTGGTACCAAGCATCTGATTTATACTTAAAAACCAATGTAACAGAATTAACCAACCCAAAGACAGCACCCAATGAAAAGTCATGAAAGGATCTTAGAATATACAATAAATATTTAGATTTTTTACAAAGCCTCATTTAAAAGTTGTCAGATAACATGCTGAATGACTATGGTCATTAGAAAAGCACACGCTCATCTAAACCAGGGGTTGACAAACATCTGTTAAGGGACAGGTAGTAAATATTTTAGGCTTTGTGCTTTCTGGCACAGCTACTCAACTCTGCTGTTTGAGTGTGAAAGCAGCAGAGAAAAATGCATAAAAGAATGAGCATTGCTGTGTTCCAGTAAAACTTAATTTTCAAAAAAAAAAAAAAAAAGAGGCAAGCAGGATTTGGCCCTCGTGCTGTAGTCTGCTAAGCCTTGATCTAGAGTATTAATAAGATTTTCTCTCAGTAAATAGCCTACTTAAAATATGCATGTATGTAAATATACACATATGAAATCAGTACTGGGTTGATGCTAATTTTGCCAAATTCCAATTGTGTAACAGAAATTCTTCCCTGCAAACAGTCACGAGAAAAAATAAAAAAGTAAAATCCAAGTATACCCCAAATTTGACTTTAGGTACATTGTTCTAAAAAATGGTTAATGCAGATTTTTACCAGCACTTTTTTTATTGGGTCTATAGCTGGTATAAGGAAGAGTTAGAAGTTATTTAAGAATAGATGACATCTTAATTTTCCACTCACTTCTAACGTTACAAAAGCATTTACTATAAAGGAGAAAAAAAACTTGGGGTGGGTGGCTGGGAGGTTGTTAAGGATAAAATTGGGGGGGGGTGTCTAACAAAAGAGGGTGAGAGTGTAGAGTGTCCCACCCAGCCCTCCCTCCCTCTGGACTTGACCATGGTCACACTGACTCAGGTGCCCCCTCGTGTCGGAAAATGCAGTAGCCAGCCCTCACCTCCACATCAAAGAGCGTGGATCCGTATCCAGGCCACTCCTTGATCAAGGCCATGTACTTGGCCATGGCCTGTTCCTGGCTCATTCCCTGGAATTTCTTCCACTTGTCAATGATGCTGGCTCGAGCGGAGGAGACCTCTTCCTTGACCCACATGTCCAGCATCTGCTCTTCCTCCACCTTCTGCCGCACGACGGGTCCCGTCCGGAAGCTCCGCCTCAGCGTCCCCTCCAGGAAGCTGGTGCGCCTCCTCTCCAGCCGCTCGCACGGCGTGAAGGTCTTGGTGGACTGGCTGATGCGGGCCTTGAGCCTCTGCAGCGAGTACACCTCCTCGAGAGGCGGGACTGCGGCGTGTGGTGTGTGGTCCCCCTGCAGGTACTGGAGCCGCAGGGCGGCGAGGACCTGCAGGTTCTCCTCTGGGGCCGGGTAGTGGCCGTGGATGACGGCTTCGTGGGCCTGCAAGGAGGCGGGCAGCGGCTTTATGGGCCGGACACTGCGGCTCTAACAGGATGCCTGTCTGGCTTGCTCTCTTATTTCATCAGGATCGCTCTCAAAGGCCACCTACCCAAGAAACTGTACCCCAACCCCCCTTTGCTGCTTTAAATTTCTCCCTGGCTCGGATACCATCTAACACATATATTTTATTTTAATTGTCCCCCCTCCACCCTCAACCAGAAGTTCCTGGTACAGAAGTTCAAATAGTGTGTGTCAAAGTTTCATTCTACAAATGAATAAAAGAGCAGCCGACCCTGTCCATGCCAGGAAATCTACTCCCATACGTGATTTGGAAGGACTAGCGGTTAACGTACGAAGGGTATTAACAGGTTTCAGCCCTACTGTCCTGCAGAGGAACCAGAGTCCCACTTACCTGTTCAAACATAAAGGCAAATTCCACGCTGTCTTTTGGCACGTTGTCTGTGTCCAGGAAGCAGTAAAGTTTGAAGTAGAACTTCCAGGGCTGGTCACCTACCTCTGATGTGGCAGCCAGCCTAGACAGAAGTCGAGAGGGAGACTCAGAAAGCCAAACAAGACATGGGCCACGGGCGACCCACAGGGAGTTCACTTTGTACGGTGTGTTCTCTCTAAGGCTTCAGTCTGTCTGTGCTCAGAGAGCAGAGCGTGTGGAGGTGGGAGGGAGGGAGAGGACACGCAGGAAGAGTGAGGCTTCTCAGAGTTCCCTGCTAAGCTGTTTACCCAGAGGTGAAAAGCATGCTTTCATCCTGATTTTATCTGACAACAGGCAGCCTTCAGTTAAACCGCGCCAACAAGTCTTTTCTGCGTGTCCCAGTCTAGTTAGCCCTAGCCAAGCGAGATGCTGGATCCATACAAAGAAAAACAACACCTATTACTTCATTCCTTTTACCAACTCTCAAACTACAATATTTATAAAAGCTAACATGACTATTAGGGAGGCTGTGTTTATACTGAGTAGGAATATACTTTGTGCTACTAGGGGGACATGAGAGCCATTAATAAAATATTATGGGTCCAAGAGATACAAAATGTGGTTGGAAGAGTTTATTAACTGGCTTCTGTCTACTCCAGCTAATGACAAGTGAAAACCTAGAATCAGAGAATTCCAAGACAGTGGGTACAACAGGGGAACCAACAGAAAGAATGGGGCAGACAAACAATGCTGAACCCTGTTTGAGATGGGAGCTCCATCTAGGAATCAAGGGAAACAGGCAACAAGGGGAGGTGAAAAATTAAATATGCTTCAACATGGGCAAAATAAGGCCCACTCAAATGTGCACCAAAGGCAAAAATGGCACAGAAGTTCAAACCTTCTTGAATCTGCTGGCACTTGGAAGGGAACTTACTTCTCAAACTTTGCCAACACATCGGCCACGATGGTCCGGCTCTCGATGGCTTTGTCGACGTGCCCGTTGTACTCAAAGAGTGCGAACATGTTTCTGCTGTCCTCCATGGCCAGGCCTCGGATCAGCTTCTCCACCACCTGGAAAACACAAGGTCTTTAGCTTCTGAAGCTGTGGTTCTAGAATGTGCCTTCATCAGAACCCAGAGGGAGCTGCCAGCCAAAGTGAGGGTCCAGGCAGCCTCCTAAGGCTGTCAGGGGTGAAATTTCAAAGGTGCTGTTTTCCCTTGTTCTCCTGGCATCAGTTCTCTCTCTTCCTTGCCACAAAGAACTGGCCCAGCATTTGCCACCGGTAGGGACAGAGGCTGGGCCTGTTTCTTGCAAACCCATACTAGGAGGGTTTACATGGAAACTGAAGCCCTTTTGTCCAACAACCTCATGAACTCACGGTGACTTTCACCAATGTTTCTTCTACACCAGCTTTTCTGGGTTTTACTGAACTATTCCTTTTAGCCAATTGGTTTTATAATACTGTTTAAATGTTAAAAGAAAGAAGATAATGTGTCCACCTGACCCAGCATTCTAGGTCTTTGCGTGGCACACAGAAACACTCCACTGCAGAAGTGTTACGATAAACCCTCATCATAGAGGGTGTACCTGAGTCAGGGTCCACAATCTCTACTAGATTTTCAATTGCTTCTCAGATTAGCAGGATTAGGTCTGTTTCCTCGTTTAACTGAGCAGCTGCCCTATACAAATCACAACCAGGCACAGGAGCCAACCTAACTGCACACAATTGTCCTAAGCACACAGGCAGTCAGGCATCAAACAGCGCCCTCCCTCACCTCCCCGGCTGTGGTGTGGGAGCTGATGGTGATCTTGCAGGAGCCTCCGCCGTGGCAATACACCGTGGACGTCATCTCCTGCCTGTGGATCAGAGCTTCTATTTCATCCCGGGAAGGCACGAACTCTCGGCATTTGGTTTTCTTAAGAGATTCGTAAATGAAGAGGGCGTATTTTTCCATCTCGGTTCCTGGAAACTGTTCCCGGATCCTAGGAGACAGACACTAACTGTCAGTTGCCGGATTGAGGATGGCTGGCAGTGGGGAGCCAGGCAGCTTCAACGTGCTGCAGGCCAGCACAGCCAACGGGTCCCCGTGATGAACAGAGCAAGTGCCAGCCACTGCCTGAGCTTATCTCAGGAAGGTTTAGTCTAAAAACAGAGAACAAAAGAAAGAAAGAAAGAAAACCACCTTAAAGACCGAAGAGCCCACGTACGACTGGAGCAACTGCTAACAGCTGGCCTCCGCCGCGCTCTTGTGCTTAAAGAGCCCTCTGCCTCGTACCACTGGGTGAAAACTGCTTTTCCAACATTAATCAGACTGAATCAGACTGTTTCCACCTGTTTGATTTGGAACAAATATCCAAGCTTTTTTCCCCCTCCTTGTTTATATAGGGTAGTGGTAACTAAATTCATCCCATGTCCTACACATCAGGACATTATACCAAGAGTGACCGGGTCTCTGGACAGCCTTGCATGGCTTAGAGAGAAAAAGGATGGCTGCAAGCTTGCTCAGGGGACCCAGGAGCCTGACCCACACCAGGGGTCTTCTGTTCCAGATCTGTGTCATCTGAACAGTGATCCACTGCACTGCCCATGCGAACAGCGCTGCCCCGGCCCCCTGGTACCTTTTGAGGTGGAACTTCAGGTACTTGAGGACCCCCCGGCTCGGCAGGAAGGTGCAGCTCAGGCACGTGAGGATCTGCCAGCTGTACAGGTTGCCCACGCTGCCCGGGTGTGGCACCTGGGTGGTCTGCTTGATGAGCTGGCAGTACAGCTCGTCTCGCAGCGGCCGGAGGTCATGGCCTGTCTGGAGGATGCCCTGGATTATGGGGATGGGGTCAGACACGGATTCCAGCTGCTGGAGGGAATTGAATATCTTGATGGCCTCGTCCTGCAGCGTGGTGTAGCCTTTGTCCTTGAGCACTGGGAAAAGGGAAACAAACACAAGTCACATGAGGGGCTCAGGGAAGGTGTCTTCCGAGCAGCAGACCAGAGGAAGGAATGAGGACGGGAGCTAGGCCGTGATGCAGCACCCACCACGTGTCCCGGGAACCCCGAATCAGCTGCATGGAGGTGGGCAAGAACTGAATGATTTCACTGTGCAAAATGCTTAAAAGCTTGTCTGTTGCCAGACAGGGTCCACACTTGGAAGGCAAGACGATGGTTAGGATCTGGTTCTCTGGGATGCTAAGGCTACTCTGAGCTCATGGGCAGTGCTGGCACTTTCTTTAAGGCAACAACCCTGGCATCACCACAACCCACAGACGCGAATGTGACTGAGCTCACGTGGTGATGGGGAAAGTGCACCCCTGTGTCCCGGGTCCGGGCGGAACTGGAGACTCACAGTTGAGGTTTATGTCTCCGTAGGGCAGGGGCAGGAGCGGGGAGTGCAGGGGGTGGTGGGTGTGGCGCAGGATAGGGTTCCGCTTGTAAATCTGCTCCACCACGTCCGAGTTCAGGCAGTTCTCCTGGAGAATAAAGGAGCCGTTAGAGAAAGGCCACGAGCTTATTGCAAAAGATGTACGGAAAGGAACAAGGACACTGCATTCTCCTGCATGTGGATGTTTTTCACAAGTCACAAAACATCAGTAGCCTAGGGACGGTGGGGGAACTAGATGGATTAATCCAGCATTAATCATTTCGACACCCAGAAGCCATGTTTGAAGACGAATCACACACATTTTCCTTACATAGCTCATTCCCTTTCTCTCATACATTTGCATATATTTCCCCACATTATTGGAAAAAGTCTTCCCTCTGGAGATGATGTATATTCAAAAAAGTTCATTTAAGCTTCTCTTGCTAATTATTTAGCCATGAATCGCTTGGTCACATCATGTCATCCTTATCTATAATTCATTTTAAAAATAAAGTTTGCTAGTTCTTTCACGGGTCTTCCGTATTCTCTGCCCAAAAACGACACATTAATATCAGTTGAGACTGCTCGTCCATGAGCCTCCTTTCTCACTCCTGAAATTTGAGAGCTCCTTGCAGAGAATTTCATCATGTATTTAAGTTCCTAAAACATTAATGTGGGATCTGAAAAAGCCAAAGTCTCTTTTAGAACTTTAAATAAACAGAAAAGCTGGGGGAGAGGCGATGAGTCATTTTACTGCGGGAATTTCGCTTCCACTATGAAACTTATTCAGTAACACCCAATCGAAAACCGGGGGGGGGGGGGGGAGTCTAAATTAATTAAAAAACTGGTGCAGCCTTACTTAGGGCAACTTGTCTCATTTCTTAAGAAGCAATTGTTTCATATTTAAAAATTCTATTTATTCTTTTAATGTCTGATTTCCAATGAATTAGTAAATAAAAGGGTAGATAAGATACAGCTCTGAAGAGAAAGTGTGCTCAGCTGGTATGTGCTGTTTTCTCTCCCTTCGCACAAGAAAGCTTTGGAAAAGTTAATTTGAGACTAGAAATGACATTATTAGTTTCAAGTGCCCTGGGTCCACGGACAGCTCTGCGGTTTGTAGGAGAACTGACTTGCTGGAATTTGGCTCCAAATACCCAGAAAATGTATCATTTTGGAATTAAGAGGCTGACTTGAATTTGGTGGGAAATCATACACTCCCGATCTATTAGACCCTCCCCGCCTTTACAAAGGCACAGTTTGCCTCCTGGATCCGATTAGTTAACTTTCTTTGATGTACATCAGTCAATAAACACCCGCCTCACTACCATTCTGGCGTCTCTTCTGTCACAGCTCCAGCTCTTTCCTCTGTGTAGGGAACCTGCCTACTTGGAGGAACAGCAGTAAAAATAATCCCCTCCACCTGCTTCTCCATCAGGGCTGGACCTGCTGTGTGTGCAGCGCACCCAGAAAGCCCCGTGTCTCTGTTTCCACCCCCGGAGAATGAGCACGGTGACCCTGGTTCGCAGCCGCCGTCTAATCGTTCGTTTGTTCACTCAGTCATTCAACAAACACTTACTGAGCAACTGATCTTTATAAACAGGAAATTACAATTTAATAAAGTCAATGTCGGTCCAAAGCTTTGGGGGCTTCTGCCAGTTTAGAGGCACCTGATGAGGACTCCACGTTTCCTAGATCAACCTGGGCTCTCCGCAAACCTACCTGTGTGGTCTAGAAAGCACAGAGTAAAAGCAGAACTACTGTGTTCCTCCTAGAAGGTCCCCAACCTGAGCTCAAGAAGAGCCAGTGACACAGCAGGTCATCCCCAACACAGATCACACCACGTCCCTGTGATGGGGAGCCCCACACCCCAACTGTAGACCCCTGTCCTCTGCCCGCACAGCCCAACAATCACGGCTGCCTCAGTGGCAACATCTAACACCTCCCCAGAGACAAGATATTTCTAGCATCCAGTGTCACCTGCAGTCCAGCACTTAGATTTTTAAAAGCCGGGATACACAAAGACACAGTTAATGAAGAGTTAGTTTTGATTACAGGAAGAAAACGAAGCCTGACCAACGTTGACATCATGATGTTCCAAGGGTGAGAGTCGGTGAGCGGCTATGAACCACCCCGGGGAGCCGGGCTCCTCTCACCTTGATATCCTGAATCAGCTGCTGGGTGGGGGTGTCGATCGGGGCCTTGGCGTCGGTCACGTTTTGAATGGCGCTGGACCACCTGGTGGCCTCGTTGAGCAGCTTGGTGTAGAGTCGGTAGCAGTGCTTGCGTCCGTACACGGTGACATTCCAGTAGCCTGCGAGAGTGGTGCACACATACACACACACACCAGCCTTAACCTTGGGGACCAAGAGGCGTTCCTGTCCTGGGGTCCCAGAACGCCAGTGCTCACGTCATCTCCACCTGAGCCCCTTTATTATTTAATTCAACAGCTACTTGCTGACTTCCTCCACGTGCCAGCCCTGCACGAGGTAGCCAAAGACATGTGGAGTTTACACTTGAGAGGAAAGACAAACATTAAAATGATAAGCCCAGAATTAAATCTATAACTAACATCTGCTTTAAAAGAACAACCAGGTATAAACTAAAGTCCTGTTCAAGGTTCTGGAACAAGAGTGAAAACTCTTCCTTCAGATTTCTGACTCTCCTTTTCCCTTCCTGTCTCTTCTCTTCCTTCCTTAAGAGTCTCCCTTCAAAGGAGACTCCCGTCTGTGTGAAGCAAGCCGTTTCTGTGTTCAGAGACCAGCTGTGAGATGGAATGACGTGACTCTATTAAAAACTGCACGAATTTCTTTTTGAATGGACTATGTTAAAAAAGCACACAATTACAGCTAGCGACAAAAATCAAAACAAACAATCTAGAAACATCTTTTATAATAACAAAGGGAAAAAACATGAAGCTTAGACTGCTTTTTATTCTACTGGGTTATGGTCACTGTCAGGATGACCTTTTTCAGGCTGCATTAGGACGCTTGTGGTACAACATTGAGAAAGACAAAGGCACAGCACAGAAAAATAACGCTTGGGGGAAAACCTTTGTCTGTTGACATTTTATTGCCCTTACAAGAATCTCCCTGCAACTCAATAAATCAAGACCTCCTTCCTACAGTTTACACACCAAGTGCTCATAGAGCTAACCATGAAGCAAGAAGATAAATCCCCCTGTGGCGAAAGATGCACATGCTCCAGGCAGAAATCCTGCTCCTTTGCTCTGAGCAAACCTGGACTCCATGCTTGGATGGGGCAAGCCTCGGGCCCAGCCAGTCCTGAGCACAGCGCCCTGCTTACCTGTCTCTTTGAAGATCTTCTCGTCCGGAGGGACGACTGAACAGAGGCTGTTGAGGACCAGGGTGCCCAGTTTCAGGGCGTTCTTCTCCGAGCTCTTGTAGTAATCCAAGGAGTTGTGGGTGAGCACAAACCACCGCTTCTTCAGTTTCAGGGAAGACATCTTCGGGCTGTTTTTCACTTCTTTGTGCAACCACCCTGGAGAGAGAGATGAAAGGGTACATTCAAAACTAGGAAGAAAAACATCACCAACCAGGTAATAATTTACGCAGTGCTTACAGTTACATTTGCTAGGAATGGCCACGGTCATTTCATATTTGACGATTTTTAACAATTTTAAGAATCAAAATTGGGGGGGAGGACATTAGCTCAGTGGTAGAGTGCGTGCTTAGCATGCACGAGGTCCTGGGTTCCATCCCCAGGACCTCCATTAAAAGAATAAGCAAGCCTGATTACCTCCTCCTTAAAAAAAAAAACCAAAAAAACACACTATTGAATTAAAAAAAAAAAGAATAAAAATGACCCAGAAAAGTGGCTCAAAATGGAACCACAGCAGATATCTGTGGAGATGGAGATAGGACCTCATACGGAAGAAGAGCCTCGGGGGCCTCACCTCTCACTATAAACTCCTGGCCCTCCACTCTGGTGTCCCCCTTGGATCTCTGCAGCAGCGTTATCCAGTGGTGCATCTCCTCCGGCGTGTCGGCGTTGCAGTGAAGCACCCGGTTGGCCGTGATGATCACGAATGAGTTGGGTCTGAGCAACAGGGCGAGAAGGAAGCCAAACCTCTGAGCGCCGCTGAAGTCCTCACCTCTGCCTGAACCAAGACTAAATGCCTGTTTCCTGGCTTTTGGGTCACGGGGATAAAAAATGGCAGGGCTGTTTGGATTTTATGTGGAGGCAAACCTGGCTCCTTTCTGCAGGATTTACTTTCTGCCTCATTAACCTTTCAACTTGGAGCCACATATTCTGAAGGTCCTGGAAGGGAAAACATCTCACTGCAAAACTTTCCAGATGACACGCGGTTCCGGGAAGGCTAAATAAAGTGACCGCAGGGGAAAATTTTTTTTTGATGCCTCTCCAAGGGAAATTTCTTTCTGCCTCTGGGTATGGCCTTGGATAATATTTCTGTGGGTTGGTAACGAAACGTCTGACACCAGTAACAGAAGATCAGTAAATAGGTGTAAGTGGAACATCTTATACACTTGATTATGTCTGGCTCAAAGAGCCACCTGGATCTGTTTTTTTTTCAAAGCAATCTGATGAGAGTGCATTTCCCGATCAGGGATAACATAAAAATGGAAATTTACTTTCTCTAGCATCTCTTTGTATCTGGCAATGCCCTGAGTCTCTCATAGGCCCTTGCTCATACTAATTCTTAATCACTGAAGCTCATGACAACAATTCCTTGCAAGTTTTCAAACTGAAGTTAAGTGCTGCAGAAGTCCGAGGAAAAGGAAGATTAACAGGACTAGAGTGGGGACGGACTGGCGCTCCTTAAAAATAAGAACAAGATTTTTCTATAGTTGGGAAGGGAGAAAGGTGGGCACTTGAGTAAGAGAAAAGCCTGGGGAGGGATGGAAAGCTCTCAGCAGGGATCACTACCTGCCTGGTCTGCCAGCAGGAACGGGTTTAGGAGAAGAGTGAGGCAGATGGGAAATTGACTGTTAGAACAAAAACTTGGGCTTTGATTATTCACATGACACACACGTGTTAAAAGGTTCCTGAGTCAGGTATAAGAAGGTACTGGGTGACTACAAGGAACAAAGAACCTATGGTTCAGAAGAGCCTTGTCAACGGTTGGCGTGACTCCCATCCAAACCAGGAGATACTATTTTTGTTGATCATTTGAATGTCTTTCTAAAGCTATGTTATTGAAGGCAGAAGTCAACTTCGATTCGAACTCAGAATTCGTAAGCAGCAAAACAAAAACAGAGAGAATGATAAAGACAAGGGCCACTGGGTACCTGGACTCCTGAGCCCATCGCCGAAGATGATTTGCCTTCAAAGAACAAAACCCCAAACATGCTCTTTTCAGAGCCCAGATAAAGTGGACATATCCAGGGAAATAAATGCTTGTGTTTTTGTTTATGAATATTCTGCATATAAACTGCTGTCAAAATCCTTTTCAAATTCATTATTCAAGTGTCGAAAGGGGAACTACACCCACTCCCGCGCTGGGATACAGGCATTTTCTTCTTGCATGAAGCCCGAGTTCATTCCTGGATGACTGTCTAAATTAGGTTTCCATGGTCTTCCCCTGGCACTCCAGAGATCTCCAGAGAGGAAGATGGTGTAGGAGGATGTCAAACCGGGTACCAAGAAGGAAGCCTCTGATTCGCTGGGGTTCACCAGGTAGGAACATGCAGCCTAGAATCACTTCACACCCGGCGTACAGACGCCTGTGGGCACAGGCAGGCGATGAGGAGCCACTTTTGTGGAAAGTCTCATCTGAGCTTACCTGTCGGGGCTGTCTGAGGCGCACACAGAATCGATCAGCCCTACATCCAAAGTGCCCTGGAAAAGAGCGAAAGCAGAGAAACTGAGAGAACCACTCAAGGACAGTGCACATCATGGTAACACCCCTAGATTATGACTCTGTAAACAGGCAAACAAAAAAGACTCCTTTTTGTGTCAACTGCAAAGTAATAGTTACTTTGCAAATGGCCCCCCTGACTGTCACTTAGTACCAACAGCCTCTAGACAGGGCAATATACACTTCACTCATTAAGTAAATTGTAAATGAATCTGTCTTGTTCTTAAAATTCTTTCAGCAAAGGGTGTTTACGAACCTCTTTCAATCATATATATTTTCTGATTTACACTACGATCTATCTTGAACTTTTATACTGATGAGAAAATAAAATTATTTCTAAAATAGATTTTGTGACTGTATATGTGTCTGAGATGGAGTGATGACAGAAGATTATGATTTAGAATTCACTAAATCCTTTGAAGGAAAGTATAATGTGCTTCCCCAGTTTCATAAAGATTGGGATTTTTTTTTTGGCTCTTTGGTTTGAGGTGGAAGAATTGTCATCTATTATGATTTATAATCTTCTGTAATTGATCTTTAACCAAAATATTCCTGTTTCTGTCTTTAATTATTATGCTATTACTTCTTTTTTTAAAAAAATTGTCCAGATATTTCCAGTCCCCTCCCCCTCCTCGGGACGCCCCCTCCCCACCACCGATGCTCACGCACCACGGCGTTTTGCGGGTTTGCCTGCTCATCGTGCATCTCCCGAATCTCCTGGTCCGTGGACGCGTGGACCTGACTCAGCACGCTGAACCACTGGCTGTGGGGAGGAGAGAGCGGCTGTCAAGAGTGGCCCTCTTCTGCATGTGTGAAACAGTGATGCCCTTCTCCACGCTCTCTGGGAAAAGGACATCTCCTCTGGGCAGCTTTGCTTTTAATTTGCCTACTCCTCATGGGTAAACTTGGGTTTCATACTACCAAGGAGCAAAGTTAGAAGAAACAGCCAAAGTTCCTGCAATTTCAGATCCATGGAAAAGCCTTTCCTCTGGCCCCACAGACCTTTACAGACACTTACTGATGATGAGTTCCCAGAGAAACTGGCAGCAAAAAAGGAAATCCTCAGTTCTGCCCCAAACACTTAGATCAAGGATCATTACTGAAGATATTATACATAACCTATGGAACATTCAAGTGTCTTTTCATTTTTTCAAAGTAAATGATCAGGTAAGAAGGCCAATACTGTAAGAGCTTCATCTCAGAATGACCCTGGATGTCCATTCTCCCGACCCATTCCCAGGATGGGGTTTCCAACCATGTGAGAGGATTTCTATTTAAGCGAATAAAACCTCAGGAGAGCTGGAAATAGAAAACAATTTCCTGAAATAGAAGGTAGAAAATTATTTTGCCCAGAGAACTCTTCTACCTTCATTTCAAATGAGTTTCCATACTTTCAGCCTCCTCAGAATCCAATAATAAACGAGAGCATGTCAACTCTAGAAAAGTCAAGTGGAACAGAAGTCATGATGCAACTAGACACAATACATGCTTGAGGAACATGACCATGAATTCCATCCACCCGTCATTTCATCTATACATTTAAGCGACTGTAACAAGTGAGAAGTACCAAGTGTGAGAGAGATGCTAGGGCTCTGTCTCTGGTAGGGGGCTGATCAGACATATATATACAAACACTCCTGTAACTGAGGCAGAGGAAAAAGTACTTGGTATATAACAGGGTACTTAAGTAACAAGGTAATACCTATATATAAAGGTATTTAAGTAAAGAGTTAATACCTATATATACATATATATAAAGATGTCGTGTAAGTTGTTTATAGCAAAGCAAAAAAATCTACCTCCTGTAATTCCTGCATGAGAAAGATGTCACGAAGAGTTTGAAAATACTCAACATATACTGACTTGAACAGAAACCAAGGGAAACATCTTAATATGAATTTGTTCATCAATTCTGATTAATCCAAAGGCAAGGCTTCAGTCATTGCTTTATAAAGCTTAAAAATATCCCAAATGGAATGCTGAACACCACACACATTCAGAATGCAGGCCACGTGGGACGGGACACACAAATGAATAAAACTGGCTTTGCTTTCCATCTGCCCAGGTGACCCCTTTAAATCTACATCTCTCTCCTCCTGAATCAAGTACAGCTCAGAATCTGAAAAGGGAGTTTTAAAAATGTGTTCCAATTGAATTTCTTTGCTGTACCCCAGAAATGGACACCACACTGTAAACTGACTATACTTCAATTAAAAATTAAAATTTGAAAAAAAAAAAAGTGTTCCACTGGCCGGGGCAAAAAGTCCTTGGCTAAAAGACTCCAAATGTTCAATTTTGCAGGTTGATTATGGCACAAGACAGACAGGACAGCTGCCAAACGCTGGGCCTGTAATTCAACTGAAAAGCTGTGGGCATTTCCTGGACCGCAAAAAATACACGTGGTCCCAAGGAGTCCCAGACGGAATGATGGGGCTCTAATTCCAGGTTTGCTTGTTTTTCCAGTTTGTGTCATAATTTATGGATCCAAGCAGGGTTTTAGTCTGTTCCCATGGGAAGAATTATTTTCTTTGCCCTTAATGCTGCTGCCATGGTGCTGTATCAACAGAAACATCCAAAGGGCAAAGAGTCGTAAAGGCCCCCGAGAACCCACCAGAAGATTCTAATTTCTGAGCTGTGAAGTGAAGAACACAGGCAGAGGGGTGCCACCCTCATAAATCGGAAGGTGTGCTCTGGCACTGCGCACAGTGGATGACAGGCACCTCCAGTGTAACCCTACAGACTCAAGCAGCAGCAGGGACAGACGAGACAGATGCTCCACTGTCTGACCCCGTTCTCCGGAATTCTGTGCCACTTCTCAGCACCACGATGGAAACTGAGGTCGGAAGAACTTACACAACTTGCCCCAGCCGATGAGGGACACCGTTGTCCTTGGAGCTCAAATATTTAAGCTCCTTAAGGAACCTAAGACGCTTTGTGCCTCCGTTCACTAGAATTGAGCTTGCATTCCTTTATGAGTTATACCACCTCTTCTCTGTATCTCAGTCTCCTACTCTGTAACCTTGCATAACAGCAGTAATACCACTACCCTGGGGGGTGGCTGTCGGAATTAAATGAGTTCATGTATGGGAAGCATCTTAGAACACTGCCTGAGACAGAGAGTGAGTTCCCTTCCCTAAGTGTTAACTTGCTCTTTTAACCAACTGAATTCTTCAGTATCAAGACCTTAAGTGCCCTCCAAATGCCACAACACCAGCATATATTTAAACAGCCGGTGGTGAACGTTCCTGCTTTTTTAACCCTTATGCAAACAGAAGCTGCTCTCTTTCAAAGCTCAGAAGCTTCCCGCGGGCGGCTTTTAGCTGCGTGGGGCTGCCCAGTTTACATATGCTGCTAGTGACAATAAAACCTGAATGGAAGTAACAAGCGGTCTGTCCAGGGGCATCAAAGCTGGAAATCTGGGTGCTTACTGCATTGGATGCATTTGCCCAGTGAAAGACTGCCCAGGAGACAAGCACATCGATCTCTGACGACTCTCCGTTCTTCGACCATCCTAACAGAAATACCCAACTAGAAAATCGACTGAAACCTTTTCAGAGCTGGCAGGCTGGACAGTGGTCTGTGTGACACCCAGGTTGCAGAGGAGTGAGGACGGAGTTCTGACAAAGTCCCCAGCACAGCGCCTCACCTGGCGTCTTCGGGGGACTCAGCGATCAGGTGGAAGGTCCGATCAGCCATGATGATGTCAATGCCGTTCTCTTTGCTGGTGTTATCTACGATCTCCCTGCAAAGGAACACGGGCACCAAACGCCAGTCAGGAACACAGAATTCTTAACAAGGGGTGGGGAAAGAAATGTCACAAAACTGATGATCGAGGTGCAAACTGTAACTGAAAAATCAGACACCGAAGCTCTAGAGTGGATCTTTTGCTTTTAGAAATGGTGAAGATCTCCGTGGCCCTGGGGGGAGCTAGGCTCCTCTCTGCTCCTGAAAGGGGGTGCTGCTGGGTGTGTGTGAGGGAGTCCTTGACTTTTTCTAGGGAGGGGCCCCTCTCTCTCCCCACTGGCCCACCCTAGCCCCACCCCAGCTCAGGCCCTAGCGCCACGGCCCCTGCTGTGCGTGCCCCTCCCCTGACTCAGTCCTCTAACCAGAAAGCGCCCCCTCCCCAGGCAGCCAGTCCGGCCTGCGCCCCTTCCCTGGTTCATCACAGCTTCCCATCAAGGTCTCAGGCATCTGCGGACACCTTTGACTCAAACTGCTACAGGCATATTCATTATTTCCATCAGGGGATTTGGGGTGAAAAGCAGGATTTGGGTGTGTCTAGATCTCCATTCCACCCTGATCTCATCCTAACACTCTCTGAGCAACACTGGAGATTTAAAATCAGTGCATGACGTTAACACAATCAGGGCAAAACCCAAGCAGTGGTTAGGATTGGACCAGAGGTGGTGACAGAGCTGATGAAGAAGGGTGCTGGGGACAGAGCCACCTGGCTTTGACAGCTGAAGCAGTACGACTATTCATGGTAAAATACTTATTTCACTCTAAAATAATAAGCAGCCAGGTTCGAAAATAAATTCTCATATGACATTTTAGCTAGAATCACTGAGATGAGATAAAACACCTTATAAAAACCAAGAAGATCAGGATTCAAGGAGGAGTCTAATAATGCCTTTCTGGAGCGGAAGGAGAGGTGACCCTAATGGGGAGAGATCACCCAGGTATCTGGCACTGGAGCCAATGGGAGAGGACAATAATCTCGGGGGGAAATTGCCCAGACGATGTTATCCTGGACCAGCCACTTTGACTCCCAGGAACTCAGTGGCCTTATGTGTAAAATGAGGGGGTGAGACTATGATGGAGCCGTAAGGCCGTGGTTCTGAACCACAGAGGTCCATCAGGATCCTGGGAAACATTCAGAAAACCCAGGCGGGACTTTTTAGGGTGGAGCCCAGGGACTGGCATTTAGAAAAAGCTCCCCTGGAGACAGGGGAGTGATGATACTGTCCTGGCTTTGATAAACGCAGTCTGGAAGCTACAGGATAAATAAACGACATAGCATCTTCAATAATAGATGGTCAGTGGAAGAAAAGATAAAGGAGGAGTACATAAATTTAAAAAGATTTGAGAGATCTATCAATCAGTTAAAAATTATAAACCTTATGTGGATTCTGATTTGAAGAAATAAACCAACTCAAGTCTACAAGTACACTACAACCTCCAGTTATAAGACGACTGGGGAAATCTGAGCAATGACTGGAGTTTGGATGATATAAGCAGTTCACGTTCCTTTTTAAATGTTATAATGAGCAAGGAGGGTGTAGCTCAGTGGTAGAGTGCATGCCTAGCATGCACGAGGTCCTGGCTTCAATCCCCAGTCCCTCCATTAAAAAATAAACTTAATTACCCCCTCCCCACCAAAAGTGTCATAATGATACTGTGATTATGTATTAAAAAGAGTCTTAATCTTTAAGTATGCACTGAATATTTACAAATGAAATTATATGATGTCAGGACTTGCTTTTAAAAAAATGTGGTTTGTAGGGGGAGCACTGCCGAGTGGGCTCACGAACAAAACACGACTGAAAGCTGGGCAATGAGCACACGGATTTCATTCTGGTCTCCCATCTACACTTGCACAGGATTGAAATTTTCTATAATAAGATGTTTCAAAATATAAAATGACAAAAAAAATCTTACTGTGATGAAACTTTAACAACTCACTGCCTTTCCTCTACAGAATGTGACCAACAGCTAACACTTCCTTACCTCTTTAATTTTTATAAAACACCGGGAGGACAGGGCTTTATTAAGCAGCACAGAGTGAGCAGCAAAAGGCACGTACACGAAATTTACATGATGAAATTCAATACCTCGCCTTTCTCTGTCTCTCAGCCTCCTGGCATTTGTGGCTGCCTCCTATGGGGTGAGTAAAGTGGACCATCACGGTGTGCAGGGTTGGGGGAACAGAGCTGTGCTAAGCAGTAAAAACATGTAGGACTCAGACATGGAAACAATCTAAATGCCCGACCGAAGACTGTAATAAAAAAGCTGTGGTGTGTATGTGTGAGTGTGTGAGAGTATGTGTGTGTGTGAGTGTGTGTGTGTGTATAATTGAATACTATTCAGTCAATAAAAAAGAATAAAATAATGCCATTTGCAGCAACATGGATGGATGTGAAGATTGTCATTCTAAGTGAAGTAAGCCAGAAAGAGAAAGAAAAATACCACATGATATCACTCATGTGGAATCCAAGGAAAAAAAAGAAAAAAGATGACACTAACAAACTTATATACAAAACAGAACCAGACTCACAGACATAGGAAACAAATCTATGGTTAACAGGGGTAAAGAGGGTGGGAAGGGATAAACTGGGAGTTCAAGAATTGCTAATATTAACTACTATATATAAAATACATTAAAAAAACCCCAAATTTCTTCTGTATAGCACAGGGAACTAGATTCAATATCTTGTAGCAACCTATAATGAAAAAGAATATGGAAACAAATATATGTATGTATATGTATGACTAAAACATGCTGTACACCAGAAATTGACAGATTGTAACTGACTATACTCCAATAAATTAAAAACCAATCAACTAACAAACAAAAATAAGGTGTAGGACTCAGATTCAAATCCTCAGTCTTATCTTCCTACAGAAGAAGGTCTCTAAGGAACCCCAAGGGGCAGCCTGGGAAAGGACCCTGCTGTTGACACTTCATTATTTGTCCTTAAAATTAAACACACAGAAGACTTTCCCCCCTGATTTCACCCTCCACTTTTCAATGAATCACTTTCTAAAGTCTTTGATGCCAGCTGAGTAAGAAACAATATGTCACTCTCAGGTCTCACGACTTCAGGGGTTAATGTGCTCTCTCAAAGCTGATTTTTTTAACCTGTTTTCTAAATAGGTATAGTTGTTCAGTTTGAGTGGAGTGGGGCTATGTGTTATCCCCACGCAAATTTTATGCTTAGTATCTGGTTACCAAAGAAAACCAGCTGCCCCGAAATTCTCAGTATTTTCTGAAAACCTTACTGAATTTTTAATAAAAATAACAGGCACTTCATAGTTCAGTGCTTTGGTTGTAGAAGAAGGTGGCAGGAAAAGGGGGTGGGTTGGATTCAGACACCAGCTCTGCTCCTCTGATGGGTACAGAGAGGTTGGTCTATCAAACTCAGGTGGACGACAAATGACTCACTTCACAATGCAGCTCTAGACTGGCTGGCTGCTCCCAGTCCAGCCATCTATCTGTTGGCCACAGTGGGGCGTGGGGAAGAACTGAAAGTGGTAGCTGACCCACAAGAAGGTGCTCAACCCACGCTCAATATCCCCGCCGCAATTCCCAGCCAATCAGCACTTTCAAGGGCTCATTCTGTGTCCAACTAGCCCCTTACAAACACGAGCAGAATGTCTGCGTTAACCACAAAAAGTGCATTTTCACAGATGCAGTCTCACTTCCCCAGCTTCCTCGTAATTCAAGCCGCAGGAGCGCGTGAGGCGGACTCACTGAACACCTCCTCCCTTCTCCTGCTTCCAAGCACTTGCCCCCAACTGCGCGCACGCGAGGACAGAAAGGCTGGGGCAGCCCCGAGCCCCGCCAGCCCCCGACCAGGGCTCGTGGACGTACTTGGCCGCCCGGACCTCCACGGTGCCCTTGAGCTTCTCCTCGCTGTCGTTCTCGAAGTACATCAGCTTGGCCTGGCGGAGGACGAACCAGCGCTTCTTCCAGTTCCTCCGCGACAGTGTGGAGGAGCCGCCGCCCTTCTTGTGCAGCCAGCCTTGCTTGAGGGCCTCCTGCTTGGAGCGGAACCACAGGAAGGTTTCGTCCTTGAGGACACACCAGCGGCGTTTCCAGGAGTTCATCAGGCCACCTGCTCCCAGAGTTGGGCAGGGAGGGGTTTAAGAAAAGCCCGTCAAATTGGATGATACCAGTGGGAGGTGTCAAGATGGAGCCCATCCTCAACTTTGCCCCAACCGACCCGCCCTCAGACGCCCCCTAGCGACGGATGACGGCCCTGCTGGCTTGCGTTCAGGAAGCGCTGGGCAGGGATCACACTGGCTTGGCTGGATTACCCGAGAACCCTTATTTCCAAAGCAACCTCTACTCACTTAGCTGAAAGCAGAAAGACCAATAATGGGCTGATACTCTAGCCCCGGGATGAGGC